GTTTTGATTTTGGTAATTTCTGTTCTTTGTGTGTTGTTTTATGTCAGGTATATAATGACTGTCCTTTTCCATGTGTTTCCATGACCTTTTAATTTTGTGGTGTTCATATTTCGTATGATATATGCTGGTGTTAGGTTGAAAACTGAAAGTCTGTGTTTGTGTGTGGACAGATTTGTTGTTTTTTTTATTTCAGTCTTTTCAATGAGATTTTGTTCCTAACTGCAGCATATATCATACCAAATATGAACACTACAAAATTAACTAAGCTTCGTTTGGCAAGGCGAACTTTTTTAGAAAGCTCGAGCTTATCTCATAAGCTTTTTTGGGTAGTTTTTCAGATAAGCCCGTTGAAATTTTTATATCAGCTAATTTTGCCAAACGCTTTTATCATATAAGTTTGCTTTTCAGCTATAAGTCATAAGCTCGAAAATGACTAATAAGTTATAAGCTAGCTTATCGGCTAGTTTTATCAAACATGGCCAAAGAATTTTGTTTATCATTCATCTAGGATCGTTGTGTTCACAAATTTAGGAATTACATACAATAAAACATCTACAAATTAATAATGTTGGGACCATAAAATATTATTAACTTAGAGAGATATTAATAAATTAATAATTTATTAATTTAAAAATGGCTTTCACTATTTAGCAAATGTAAATTTGGCAAGTGTAGTTTGTACTTGGTGAGCAAGTACACTTGTTAGGAAAGAGTCTTAATTAAATTTGGAAAGAAACTTATAGGTATAAGAGTAAAAAATACATTAGGAAAGGAGTATCTTGGTTAACAATTATTAGGATTGAGTGTTTTCTTCCTCAGCAAACTATGATTAAGATTCCTGAATACTCAGCAAACTTACTATTTTCTATCGGTTAATCGTGGGAATTGAGTGTTTTCTTCCTCATGGCTCACAATAGCAGAGCAAGCATCAAAGAGGAATTAGGGCTTCGACTAAAGAACATCGCCCTGTTAAAATCAGAAGGGAAAACAATTGAGATTGAAGACGATGATGTTTGCGCAAGTGAAGAGGAATGCGAGAGAAGCCTGTTGGGAAAGATTGTAGGGGAGCGTCGAGCGAGTCTCTTTAGCCTTAAGCGAATCTAACCAACATCTGGCTTATTACAGAACCCATGGAAGTCCGAGAGCTGGGAGTGAATTTTTTCCAATTCATCTTCGGAAACAAGGAAGATAAACAGAAAGTAATGTCTGGTACAAATTAGATATAAAAGAACCAATACTTGATCTTACATGAATGGCAGGAGAACATCACGGCAGAGCATCAATGTTTCAATTTTCTCAACCTCTGGGTTCAGGTTCGCAAAATCCCCCTAAATTGGTTTAAAGATTGGACGCATTTTTCACGAAGTAAAAAACTTGATGGTGATCAAAGCGGGCGGAACAAAAGGGAATTATCTCCGATTGTTGGTTTCTTTTAATTTGGAAGAACAACTACCTCGAGGTACTACTATTAAACTCCGGGACCACAAGATTGAAGTTACCTTACTGTAAGAAAAACTTGTGAATCTGTGTTATTATTGCGGGAAAAAAGGACACTTAGATAGGTGCTGTCAGAAGAGAATGGATGATATCAAACAGGCTAAGCTGAATGAGGGCCAATTTGGCGAATGGATGAAGGCGGTTGATCTCTACTTCCCCCCAGATCAAACAACTCTCAAGCTAAATCTACAAACTCATTTGATGGCACTTAGAATGTGAACACCATGGCAGCAATTTACTCTGGCTCAGGGAAAGGGAGTAGGGAAGAAGTTGGAGTTGATAAAGAAGGCTCAAGAGACCTGGCAACTGCAGACCTGATTAACATGAAAGGCAAACAAACCATTGAAGACATGTTGAGGAGCAGCTCAAAGATTTGAACACAGCCATCTTTGGACCAAAAATCACAAGGAATAAATACAGAATCCAATCTACAAAAGCCACCGTTGGAGATTCAGACTTACAATCTAATGGCTATAGAGCTAATTCCATAATCTAAATGAGGGAACAATGCTGGAGGATGCTACCACCTCAATCTCTCCAGAGAAAAGAAAACCAGCCAAAACTTGGAAACGAGTAGGCAACAAGGTATGCAGATTGAAAAGGAAACCTGAAGGAGAAGCAGAACAAGCTGAAAAACCAACTTCAAAAGGGAGAGAGAGGATTCAGACAGAAAGCTTGTTGCTCCTTTTGAAGGAGAATCAGTAACCAAAGAATCAAAGAGGCAGAAGAACACAAATAAACAGGTGGTGGTGGCCAACCTTGAATGGCCACAAGTTTCCCAATGAAGACAATCCTGTGGAAGACAATCCTGTGGACTTAGAGGCCTGGGTGGCCCTCTACAGTTCTCTGGAGATGCCTAACTAATACTCTGCCGGTTAATTGCAACATACTAAAGAAAGGAATGGACATTGACTGTATTTGTAAAAGCTGTGGTGAAGAGTCTGAGACAGTGGAGCATCTATTTTTTGATTGTTCTAGAGCTAAAAGAATTTGGAGGCTTTCACAGGTGTCATGGGATGGACTGAGTCGTCAAACAGATAATTTTAAAGGTTGATGGTCTAGTATCTGTGGCATTAACAAGACCGCAACATCAGAGGTTAAAATCTAGCTTTCCACATACATTCTTTGGTGGTTGTGGAAAGCAAGAAATCTGTGGGTTTTTAAAGAGTCTGGATTGATGATAGAGTTGTGGTTAATCTGGCTGGCAAAGATTGGAGGGAATTTGCAAAAGTTTAGTATGAGTTTGTTGTGGTCTGTTTTCTTATTTTGCTTTTGTTATAGCTGGTCTTTTCTTTTGCTGTGGTTGTTGCTCAGTAAGGTGGTTTTTCTTTGTGTTTGGGAGTTTTTTTAGGCCTTCTAGTGCAGTGGCTGAGCTCCTTTTTCAGTAGGGCATTGGAGTTTGGAGCTAACTGCTGGGCTCAGTGTGGTTGTCATTGCCAATAGATGGCTTTCAAATTCTAGGTTTGGTTTTTATTTCTTTTGGTCAGTGCAGGTTTTTGCTTCTTAGCCTTATGTGGGTTAAAATTTGTAGACCAAGTGGTCTCCGGTTTGTAAAAACTTTGTATTATTCCCTTTGTTGGAGTATATACATTCTATCGTTTAAAAAATTAAAAACATTTTCTATAATTCATGTTAAAGCAATTGTATATAAAACCATAGTTTTTAAACTCGGTCCGGAATCGACTCGAGTAACTCTTCGGGTTATCGGGTCATCTGTTCATGCGCTGCGTTGGGTTGTCAGGTCAATTGGTGAAATGATAATTAATTTTAATTTCAAAATTATATATATAGTATTTTTGTCATATACATATGCATAAAAGTAACTAACTTAAATATTTTTTTATATAATCTTTGTACATCAAAGTGTTAATAATATAGTACCACTTAGTAAATATTTACACATATAGTTCTATTTTTTTAAAAAAATAAAAATATAAGGGCAGGGTCAATGCTCCGAGTCAACCCATTATAAGACCACAAAAAAANNAAAAAAAAAAAAAAAAAAAAAAAATTGAAATTGCAACGAAAATATATTCCAATAAAATTCTAACGACAATTCTCATGAAAATTTCCCGCATTGGAATTTTTTAATGGATTCCAACAAGAATTCCTATGAAAATTATTCCGTTGAAATTAATTTTTCATTTGAATTCTCATTGGATTTTGAAATTTTTCAACGGTTGAAATATGGGTTTAACAAAAATTTTAATGGAAATTCAATATTCCAATAGAAATTCCATTCGAAGATATTTTCTCTGAAATTTCTGTTGAAATCATTCTAATGAAAACTATACACTGAAATATCCGTTTAAATTTTTCCATTAGAATATATTACCGTTGGAACGTGATGTTTTTATTGGGTTGACGGATTTTGACCAGGTCCGTTGTTTCCAGATCTGAATGACTCATCCATACCAATTCAAGCTCCTGATCGCCCAGCTGGTCCGATCAAAGTTTAAAAACTATATATAGAACTCTCGGATGAAGATAGCAGAGTAGTATTGTGAGTGAGGTGCAAGACAGGTAACCTATTAGGCATTTTCTGATAATTCAAATCAAAGCAAATGGATTTGTATAGAACTCTTGAATGACTGGTAGCAAAGCAGTACTGTGAGGAAATTGCGAAAAGAACCCCTCAGAAGTACAAATAGAACATGAATAAAAGATAGAGAAAAATTATAAATAAGATTATTATTGATTAAATGAACGAGTAGCCTATAGTGAAAGCCCTAAGACAAAATGTTGTAATGCTTTGAATACAGACACAAACAGAAACAAGAAAATAAATGGGAAACACAGGTTCAAGCAAAACCAAATTAGATTAACCATAAGTAACAACAATCATAGACAACAGTGCAAATCAGGAAACCAAACTCCCATTAGGAAATACAATTCAAGTAGTCTCTGTCCCTTGTGGTAACTCAAAGCACAACGAAGCTCAATTTGGTACGAACTTGATGGACACACTATTAACACAATGCCTCTCATCAGTGGGCACCGAATGCCCCTCACCTTTAAACACATGCCCCAAGTGCCCACCGCAAGCAGTGCAAGTGATCTCAGTCCTCCTGCCATCAGGATCCGGCTAAAACCGGATCAAAACACATGAATGATACTTGTTCAAGTCCCACATAAACTAGATACAAGAAATGGTCGAGACACATGCAGAGAAATAGTGGAGAAGGACTATCCCATTACCCTTATTGTTTCAGTTCTAGCTATATCATTTTCAACTAACTAAAATGTCATCATTTCAAACTGAAGGGATAAAATTTAAGAACAACTAAAATGCCATCATTTCAATACTATAGTGAAAAGGGTATTATTATGCTGGAAAAATTGGAGACATACAGATCGGGTGATGGCCCCGGGTAGACCTTCGAAGAAAGCGGGCCAACCGCAGCCAGAGTCGAACTTAGTCGTCGATTTGTAGAGAGGCATCCCGCAACCGGCACAGTTGTAGACCCCTTCTTCGTAGAACTTGTCATAGTGCCCGGTGCCTCTAGGCCTGTCCAGTTATGAATAACATCATCAAAAGTTTGTAAGAGAAAATCACAACATCATCCAAAAAAAAAATTAAATTAATACAGCAACATCTTGAATGATCGAGAAAAACTAATTAGTCACACAAACTGATTTGGTTCTGCAAACACACAGAAACCCAATATCCATAAGAAAAAAGGAATATAAAAGCACAAAAAAAAAAAA